GTGGTCTCCCATCCAAGTACTAACCAGGCCTGACCCTGCTTAGCTTCCGAGACCTCTTAGGTTTCTATCACCCACTAAGACTGGAAAACACTGGGTAGTTCAGAGATCCCACGGCTTCCAAGTGGGGAGCTGGGGTTCCTTGAGGTCCTTTGACCCCAGGCCGTGCACTTTCTGTTACACTACACTGCCCCATTATAATGTTTATATAATCAAATAATTAAGTACTTCTTGTGCCTCTACTTGGCAAAAGTCTAAACTTCATGTATTATAGAACAAAATTTGGCCTTTTTAATCACTGGCATCTCTGTTTGTCTTCAGTTCAGATAAAAGCCTTACGTTTTCTTATTCATTCATTCAGCAAATATTTGTTAAGCATCTAAGTCCTCAGATACTCCACGGTAATAGGATTGCTCTGTTGGTATGATTTGTAATTTGTCCTGGATTAGAGCTCCCAGCTCCCATAGCAATGTCTACTATAGCCTGAATGCACACTCTGACTTTGAGCCAGCAGGTCTTTAAAGAATTATAGTATCTCCCAAAGAAGAGCATCACCCTATTTCCCAAACTGATATCTCATAATTTTCTGTTCATTCAACAAACAATTATCGAACACCTACCATATGCCAGGTATTGTTCTAGATGCTGAGGATACAGCAGAGCCCAAGATAGACAGGGGTGCCCGCCCTCAAGCAGAAAACATTCTGGAGAGGAGGAACAGCAAGCAAATAAGTGGAGTGTATGGGATGCATCAGGTGGTGCTAAGTGCTAAGGGACAAATAAAGCAGGAAGGGACAGATAGGGTATTCCAGGAAGCGGGGAGGAGTTGTACATAGAGCCAGTCCAGGAAGGCCCTGCTAAGGGGGTGGCATCTGAAGGAGGCCAGGGAGTTGGCCTGCAGATGTATGGGGGCTGGTTCCCCAGGCCAAGAAAAGGTAGTTGCTAGGAGTTTGTGGGGAACAGCAGTGGAGCCAGAAGGCTGGAACTGAGGAGGGAGCATGGACTGTAAATAAGCCCAAGGGAGAATAGGCTGGTGGGAGGATAAGAGTTAGAGAAGGGAGCTCTGGAGGGTTTTGAGCAGAGGCAGAAGTGATCTGACCCTGGGGAGGAGAGTACAAGGGCGGAAGCAGGGAAAGCAGCTGGAAGGCTTTTGCAGAGATCCAGCGAGAGACGTGGCTGGGAAGTGGGCAGCGAAGGCACCACAGAGTGGTCAGAGTACTGATATATTTTGAAGGCAAAGCCAACAGGATTCGCTAATGAGTTGGACATGAAATGGAAAAGAAGATGAGCACCTAGAAGGATGCCATTGCCAATAATATGCCCTCCCCACCACCCCAATTCCAGCACGCCCCTGGGTCAGATGGAGAATGTGAAGTTTGGTGTTCTGAGGCCCAGACCTGTCTTCTCTGTGTCCTTTCCCTTTCTTTTGTGCTTTTCCTCCGCTCCGCACTCGGGCAGGAGTTGAGCGAGTACAGGCTTCATCAGATGTCAGTTAAAATCTGGTTCATCAATTCACCAGCTCTGTTACCTTGGGCTAATGCCTGAATCTCTCTGAGCTTCCGGTGTTTCTGGAGCTTCAGGTATGTAAAATGCCTGACGCATAAGATGCATTCTGTAAATGGTAATTCTTCTCTCTCTTCTATTAAGAGCTGATGAAATCATTCACGGCAAAGTATAATGACTAATGCCGTTAAGGTGTTATATTTTGGGGCTGTATTTGCATTTTAATGAGACGGGACGTTTTAAGCCAAAGGACTGAATCATCATTAGTGGAAATGCAGGCCATCGTTGAACAAGTAAAGGGTGATTGTTTTAGTTTTTAAATTTTGTTTTTGGGAGGAGGCATCAATTGATATTATTTAGGAAAGGGTGTTCAAAGTGTGAAAGGTGTGAAAGCCTCCTGTCACCCTTGAAATGACCTCTAGCATTCATGACACAATATTCACTGAATTTCTCCTTTGGTTCAGGCCTGAAGATACAATGGAAAACAGGCAGACGTGGTCCTGCCTTCACTGGGCTGACCTTCTAGCAGGGCAGACAAGCATTGAGCACATCACAATAAGATAACTTGCATGTTGGTCAGGGAAGCTAAAGAAGCTTTGGGAAGTTGGGAGTGGTGGGGCACAGGGGAGGCTTCCTAATATAAAGCAAGGCTTTTTAAGTTCTAAACCAGGTTATCGACCCTGGTTTTTCTCAAATTTATTGATTTAAAATCCCGATGCCTGGATCTCCCCTCAGAGATTCTGGGGTATATTCTGGGCTCCAGGGTTTTTAAGAGCTCCCCTAAATGATTCTGATGGGCAGCCAGAGTAGGGAATTAGTAGGAATTAACTAGATTAAGATGGAGAGGTTGAGCTGAGGAAGATTGTCATGTTGGGGAGGAACAAAGGTGAAGACCGGAAATTTAGAAGAAGTGTGTAGCCCCTTCCAGAAACTAGAGGAAGTTCTGTGTACCTGGAACAAGCTGAGAAATGATGGGACAGAAGGGTGAGGGTGTGAATGAGATGGGGTGGGGGGCAGGTCCTTGAGGGCCACAGTGGGAATGTGCACATTTTGCATCCCACCAGGGGAGAGAGGATGGCATTCTAGGGGCATCACTGGAGCTTTTTAGGTGGAGAAGGTTAGCAGGAAGCAAGATAAGATCGGTGTCCAGGAAACCAGTGTCCTGCTTTAGTGTCACTTTTGAGAAATGACAGTAGCCAGGACTAGGGGTGTGCAGTGAGAAGAAATGGACAGTGTGGGAGATATCTGGAGGGCAGAATCAGCTCTGCTCAATAACGGATTGGCTAAGCAAGGAGGGACATCAAGGACGGTGTAACTCTTTCAGCTTTGAGCTGGCTGCTTTCTTTCAAGCCAAGTAGTGCAGGTTGAGGAGTAGAGATGTGGACTTGGAGACAAGAAGATGGAGAATTTGTATAAGGAGTCTGGCCAAGAGGAATGGAAGAGGAAAGTAGCTGGCGTGTGGCAAATGGTATCTGTAGTTGAAGTAGGAAACGGTCGGGGAGAAACGGGATACAGGGTGAGGGGCTCGGTTTGAGACCTATAGGGTTTTGGTGTCTACGAGATACCCAGGAGGGCAGAGTGGTTAGGGACGCTGGATTCTGCCTCT